AACACTTCATTACCAGGAGTGTAATGCCACAGGCTGCTGGGACAAGAAGTGTGAAGGTGCTATTGCTGTCATGCTACACTGTGATGTTCCCACAAATACAGGAACAGAATGTTGGATCGACCTGATTCAATATAGCCTTAAGTAATTAAATTATGTATCCTGAATACAATGTAAAATTTCTGTAGAATACCGTAGGTATTTCCAATGGATACAAACTGAGAGCTTCCTTTCTTTGATTCTATTATGAACCTACTGGATCATTTCATATCAACTCTCACTTATCTCTACTTCCCATTTGTAACATTACACTAACACCAACCTCTCCTCACCTGCAACATCTAACTAACGTTAAAAACTGCTGTTGGGGTTGTACATTTTGACTGAACCAAAACAGAGTGCAGGAATCATGGGTTGCATCAGCGTACTTGGCAGAACCACATGAATTGTGAAAGTGGGTCAATACATGAGAGTACATGTGGCCGAAACATCAGTAAACAAGTCTCTAAAGAGTGAGCACATTTGGGACAGGTAGAATATACCATTAGAGTTAGAAAAGGAAAGTGGCAGGGGAGAAAAGAATGGATTGTCCTGTTGGGAATGACTATTAGAACCCAGAAGTGGAACTTTCCTTTATGGAAAAGAAACATTTTGCTGCAGATCATATTTTTGCAGTAACAGTACTGAATTTACAAAGTTACCATAAGGACCAAAAAAAAAAAAAGACTTATGTACTGTATGAGACAAGTGGTCTAAATGCTGAATATTAGTACAAATTAATTTAAGTGATACAAAGCATGTATTCCACTGTTCTCCCCATCCCTCTCTCCTGCAATTTTCCGAGTGTTATTCATTCATTTGGCACGCTAGCTGATCTGAGCTGTCATATGATATAGTACTCTACAACAGGCTGTCGCCAACCAAATTGCAACCATATGTCTTGCTGTACAGTAAAGTTTCCAGATCAGCTTGCCACAGTTCTCTCCGTGCGGGTGGCTAATTCACAGCTGGAGGCTAGCAGCAGGATTTGTAAACCAAGATAGAGGCAGACTCCACCCTAGGTTTGAAAACTTTGCCCTGCAGCCAGAGTACACAGTACACAACTGCTACGTTCTTCTTGCCCATATTCCGCATGAAGAGTTCTGGAGGTCCTTTTACAGAAGTCATAAAAAGAAAATCAAACACTGCAAGTATTGTAATATATCAGGGGAAAAAAAGGAAAAGCTACTTCATATCCTCTTGTTATTTTTTGATAGTTCATCTCAGAGGTGGGTTTCAGCAGGTTCTGATCGGTTCTGGAGAACTGGTAGCAGAAATTTTGAGTAGTTCGGAGAACCGATAGTAAAAATTCTGACTGGCCCTGCCCCCATCTATTCTCTGCCTCTCAAGTTCCAGCTGATCGGGAGGAAATGGAGATTTTGCAGTAACCTTCCCCTGGACTGGGGACAGAATGGAGATTTTACAGTATCCTTCCCCTGCCACGCCCACCAAGCCATGCCAACCAAGCCATGCCCACAGAACCAGTATTCATAATCATGCAGGACTAGCTTGTTGGATCTTGATCTTATCCATCAGGTCACTCCTTATATTAACTAAAAGATCTCAAATCAAAATTAACAACATGGCTTGTTGAATAAGACACAAGTAAGATACTCATTAAATTTTATTTATTCACACATTACACTAAGGCATGAAATATGATGGACAATCCATAAAACCAAGGTTTATGTGAGCTATGATAAAACCAAGCAAGTTGGATCCTAACTTAGGCTAATATCAACCCAAATCACAGATTTGTTACATAGCATAATTCAGGAGTAGCTAACTAAGATTAGTTCATTTACCGTATATAATGTGCTTAATAGAGCAAGTTTGGTGTAGTGGTTAAGGCACTAGAAACTGGGTGATTGTGAATTCTAGTCCTGCCTTAGGCACAAAGCCAACTGGGTGACTTTGGATCAGTCTCTCTCTCTTAGCCCTAGGAAGGAGGCAATGGCAAACTACTTCTGAAATTTTGCCAAGAGAATTACAGGGCAATCTAGTCTAGGCAATCGCCAGGAATCAACAATTACTTGAAGACACCTATTGTCAAGCATGGGAAAATCAGGAAATCCAGGTAGTTCAAAAGAATATAAAGGTTTATTGCAAGCTTAGGCTGTTTACAAGAATCTGAACTACTGATGATCAAAGCAAATACGGTAGGTGATAGATAAGGTAATGGAATTCAAGTGGGACTAGGCTTAGATCTCTTGTGGGTATGAAGGAACTCGAGACTAATTATATGTTTTGACCACTCCCTTGGGATCAGCCTGGTCATTTCCTACACATATACACACAAACATATTAATACACACAAAACATGTTTAATGATTGGTCATATACCATAATAAAAATTAATTTATTCATATAACTCAGGAGTAATAATTTTCCAATGGTTACAGATACTAGAAGACAACTGTCGGCTACAGTATTGTTTAAAATGTATAGGTATGAGCTCTAAATGTTTCTAAGTTTGTAGATTTACAACATAATGCATCCTACATTATGGGATGTTAACAGATATACAATTGTAAATTCTTAATATCTGGATAACTGAAAGCCAGGACAATAGCTTTAATATTTCACTTTTTTAAAAAAAAAACTCTGTAAATGAAATATTAAAATAACATTCACTTTATGTGACTCATGTTGGATTTATATTCCTAAAATTTAGTTGTAGCTTATGGCATAAGCATGCTCTACAACCTCATTAAATGTGATTTATACAATAAACCGTGGATAAACCATTTCTACATTTAACTTATCTGTTTCTATCCTTACCACCATTTCTTGGAATAATATGCCTGGCAAACAAATCCTGAAAGTTATTTTTATGAAAAAAAGAAGGCCTCTATGAAAAGACAGTCTCTTGATATGCCAGAAAACAATAAGTATCTACCCATCTTCTATTTAAAACCACAAGATTTCCAATTTGTTGTCATGATTTTAAGATCTTGATTTTCTCGACAGACTCCTTCAGCCACATAGGCTCTTCTCAGTAATTTCCCGATTGCTCATTTGTTTTTTCTTCTTCTGTAAATCTGATTAGAAAATTTCAATTACCAGTAACTTAAAAGAAACTTCCAATGATATCTGGAGAAAAATTGGAGTGTTTATATGGGATGGGGGGAGGGAAGGAAGTCATATATATTCTTGCATCCTGTTTCCTACTGTGCCAAAGCAGTCCAAAAGCAAGAATCTGATCAAGATTCTCTCCTCCTTCAGCAGCTGGTATGCAGAGGGAGTAAGAGAAAGCACAACTATTGGGAAAAACTGGACATGCACACGTGGCCCAGATTAATCTGTTTTGTGCTCAGAGGCTGGATTCCACTTAAGTGTGAGTCACACTTGAATCAACAAACTGATGACTTTCTCGGTATGTCGTGTACTGGGCTTGCAAAATGCAGGAACACACATCCAAGTCTGTCTTAAAATCTTTTTTAGATTTATGAGAAAAAGCTAAACAAGGCATCCTAGTCAAGGAAAAGTGAAGGATTGAACCTGCAATTCTTCCTGGACAAGGCAATTCTACATCTTTTATTGCCTGGGGCAGAAATGTCATACGAAACCTGGCTTCATTATAATGATCCAAAAAGAGGGTCACTTTATACTTTAAGAGAGGTGGTTTTCTTGCAGATGGTGTACTATTTCCAAGCAAGTCTAAGAAAACAAGCCACTTCCTTTGTTCCTCATTAAAAAAAAAATGTAATTGAATTCAAGCCTTGTCAAAAGTATGCTAGAATAATTTCTAGTGAAACTAACTCTAGGTTATTTGCATATATATATCCCTAAATAGTTATGTTGTGCTCTTTAATAGGCTTTGATACTGTGTGCCTCTGACAGTTCATGGAACTTTGTTTGGTTCCATTCAAATCAGTGGGATATAAAAAGGCTTAATGTATTTATTTCCCACTTGTTAACAGGATCCAGCCTCAATTCAATTCTCACAAATCACTTACAGTCTTACACGCAGGACAAGCACACCCACGGCTGCCTTCTCCAACCCGGTGCACTCCAGACAAGTGCAACGTGGCTTCCATAATCCCACCTGGTGGAACATTTGGGGAACTTGAGTGCGTGTGTGTGTGTGTGTGTGTGTGTGTGTGTGTGTGTGTGTCCGTGTGTTGTAGTGCAGCCCTTTTGCAAGGTTCTAGTCGGGGGAAAGAAGGCTGTACAGAATTGCAGCCACAACGTGTAGTTAGTTGAATACACCCCTTACTCCTTTGAGTAAGCTCCTGTCTAGGGGACGCTATCCCGAGAATTAGTTCCTTCACCCTGTATTTTGCTTCGTGGGGGTGGGGGGGTGGGTGTTGTGTTGTTCCCTTTAAAAGGAAGGAAAAGGGAAACTTTCCCTTTCCCCCCTTTTAAATAAGTCCACGCAGGTACTCCATCCACGGATCCCAAAACTTCCTTGCCACGCGGGCGTCTCTTTTTCCTAAAACAGCAGAGATACTCGAGCCTCGGACCCGCAGGCAACTCGCCGGATCCTTTTCGTCGACAAAGAGAAGGGCACCATTGCTATAAGCAGCCCTTCCCGAAAAGCCAAACTCGGGAGTGTCTTAAGGCCGCGGCGGCAGCAAAGGTGAGAACTCCGCTCGGCTTCGGTTCCATGCAAGCCTCGCTTGACTCCGGGCAGGAAACATTTCCTCTCACGGCTTCGCTGCTCCTCAGTGCTCATGTGCAGGCCCTCGAAGGGAAGGCGGCCGAGGGAAAGGTTTCGCACATGCTCAGAAGGGTCGAGTCGCCGTCCCTCCGGGCTGGGGCGGCTGGCAGCGTCAAGCGAGGCGGCCGCTTCGGGAGCGGATGCCCCCCTCGCGTTGTCATGCCGACTCCTCGCCGCTGCCATCCTTCAAGCCCGTGTGAGAGAGCTGCTGGCGGCGGCGGCAGCGGCGGCGGCGGCTGAAGCAAATGCCGGAGGAGCCCCCAGTCAAGTCCTCAGCCTCGGCTGCCGCCGCTCTGAGCGGCGCTTCGCGGCTTCTGCTTCTCTAACAAAAGGATTCGGCGGCAGAAAGGTGGGAGAAGCAGGACGCCGCGCGCGGGGCTGCCAGAGGCAGAAGCAGCAGCAGCAGAGCAACCCCCGGGCATCCCACCCTCCTCGGACTATTGTTGCAGCGGGGGAGAGGAAAAGGGTGGGTGGGTTTGTCCGGGAGATGGAAGATGGAAGAAAGCGACGATGGGGTAAGGAAAATAAAAACAAAAACAAAAAAACTCGCCTCCTCCTCCTCCTCCTCTTCCTCCTTCTCTTTCTCCCCTGTGCCTTATGCCTTCTCCCCGCTTGGCTTTGTCACCCGAGATGCCCCCGTGGCTCGTTGCTTCTGCCCATCCACGCTGCCCAGGTGTCAAGCCGCTTCAATGCCACGGACCCCACCCCAAGAATCGGTGTCGTCCTGCCCCCCCCCCTCGCCCGCCCCGTGCCCGTGGGCAAATGAATGGGAGACAAAGACGGAGCCGGCGCTGCCCTTTGCCGGCTTTGCAAGAATTAGGTCTCTTCGCTGTCCTGGTGGAAGCTCCCCCTCCCCTCCCCCCCCATTTTAAGCAGATTTATGACTTTTGGGTGGAGGGTGGCGGCGGTGGGGAAGGGATACCCAAGCCTGGCTGTAAGAGTGAACCCGATCTAAGGTGGAGGGACCCGGCTTCGGATTCCGCTCAGATGTGACTTGGCTCAGATGTGCACGAAGTTAACTCGCCTCCCCTTTTAGACTCGTCTACCTGGTAGGGTTGTTATGAAGGGAAGAATGGTGGGAGGACGAGTCAGGATGGTTCCATCTGAGTTTCCTTTTTATAATCATGTAATGAACATATCCTTCCAGCTTTGTAGTTCAGCCCTGGATTTAGAAACCTTGGATTATTATTTTTTTTCCTGTAGAACTCATTACATGTTTCTTCTTCCTTTCTCCTCCCCACCCCCTTCCATCAAACGAATAATACTGATGTATTTGGCAGGTTTATTGCAGGCCTGAAAACGCGGGCATTCCTACCGTGCATTAAAAAACAAAACAAAACAGTGCCCTGAACTATTTTTGTTCTGTTAATATGCTTTGCAATTTGGAGTGTTATAATGCTAACCTAAAGCATTTTAAGCAGACTTTAATAAAGCTAATTTCTACCTATCCCTTCAGAATCATCCGTGGATTAAAAAGTGCACAGATATCTAAAATTTACAATGAAAGTGCTTCAGCAGCCAAAACAAACTTGCAAGTTGACATATTTTTGCATCTCATTTGCTGCGGTTGTCGCTTTGATTTTCTTCACCTCGGTTTGTTCCCCTGATCTTTCACCCTTTCATCTAAGAGCAAATCCCATTGCACTTTGGAAGCTTTCTTGTGAGTGGAGATGCACAGGATGAGGTGGGCAATTAGATTTTAAATCTTTTGGGGCAGGACCTGTCTGTCTTTATGTAGCACCTCAATTTTTGATTACTCTCACACACTGTAAAAATGGTTAATTTGTTGAGCGTATGCAAATACGCATTTCCACTCCTCGCATTTGCGCACGCTGGCTGTACATCTTGTAATCGCTCTCAGGTCTTTGTACATATGGTCTATTCTCGTTTTTCTGCTTGATTGTGAGCATTTGTCTGTCCCTGTTTGTTCTTATATGCAAAGAAGCATGCGAAAGAGCTTTTTCCCCTCTTCCATCTGATTGTTTGGCTCCTATTTTTAATTTGAGAGATCAAACTCAGTTTAATAGATTGCAGCGATGAACTAAGGGAGTTCAACCAATCAAGGTGCTTTCAAATGTTCATCAATAGTTTTCTCCTGAAAGAAAGGAAAACTTCTTGGAAACCAGTGGATGTTGATATTTGGCTCTGTTTTCACAGCTGCTTGGCATTAAGGCACAGTCGTTATTTTAAGGGGGAGTAAAGCATAGATTTCAGCTGATTTCTTGAAAGGGGGAGCGGTGGCTATGTGTGTGTGGGGGGGGGGGGAGACTACTGTGGCACTGCAGAAAGGAACATAAGACCCCAGATTGTAGGACAGCAGGTCTGTCACAAATCAGTGAGCTAATACTACATAGTGCCATCTAGATTAGGCAACCCGGTACCTGCTGGATGTTTTGGAGTTCATTTCTCATCAGGCCAAACGTTGTGAGAGATGAGGGGGTAGGGGATATACATTTGTATATAATGCAGGACTGTAAGCAAATGTTAAAGGAATGTCTGATTTATCCCAGCAGGATTCCAGGCTCTCTTCAATATTAAAAGGAGGAATGGTTTGGCTCTTTCCTTAGAGGATCATTTTACAGGCAGCAGTCCATTCACTTGCTGGAGAATGATTGTCAGCCCCACGAGGTAGACCAGACCAGGAAATCAAGCCCACAGGAAGATCAGAACTATATTTTAGTGAGTTTGGCTACAATAATAGAATCTTGTAAGCCTGATTATCAGTGAATCAGAGCGGTATCTGCCTGAACTGCTTCCAAATATTATCTTGTGTTCTGGGTCTTTAAATATGCATCAGCTCCTTTGCCTAAGTAATGCTTCTTGCATATTTATGTAATCTTTATTGTCTACTACGATTGTGTTTCCTATCATATGAGCAAAGGTGAGGTCATCTTCCATTCAGAAGATCATCTCCTGGTACCTAGATAGAAACAGCTGTATTTTTTGTATGCAGTATGCAGAGTGTGCAGCTTTCAAGCTTTCACCACAGTGACTTTTAGTGACTTTTAAAAGGCAATAGCATGAAAGTGAGTTGCCATTGCTCTTTTCCAGGATGGTCTTTATTTCTCAGTCTGTCCTACATATATAGAATGACTATGTGGTCTTCTCTCTATGTCCTGACCAGGTCTGATTATGACTGACATCTTCAGGATACTGCACATTGATTAGGTAGTAATCCAAGATAAAACCCATTGAATAGAACATATCCCACCAGCCAAACGTTTGGTGTTCCAGTGCTTGGAAATGCTACTAGATGCTGAGTGGGATGACTCCCTGTTGTAGATGTCTAATTGTTTAAACATGTATGCCTATAAGGCAGTGAATCCAAGCATGATGCATAAAAGTAATTGTGGCAAAAAAACCTGATGACTTTAAAATATGAAACATCTCTGTTTGCATCCATCTTGGCTGAAATCAGCTGATCTCTTGATAATTTGATACGTGACGGCTTTATTTGGCTTCACTCCTATTGGCACATACTGTCTGAGTCAGCTGTTAAAAGTGATCTGGCAGAAGTATTTTGAATCTCTGAAAAAGAGGTTGACTGAAGCCCATTTGTGAGTTTATAGCAGCACAGGTAGGTAGTCCTTGACTTACGACCACAATTGAGCCCTAAATTTATGTTGCCAAGTGAGAAATTTGATAAGTGAGTTTTGCTCCGTTTTATGACTTTTCTTGCCACATTTGTGAAGGGAATCACTGCAGCTATTAAGATAGTAAGACGGTTGTTAAGTGGATCTGGTTTCCACATTGATTTTGCTTGTCAGAAGATTACAAAAGGTAATCACGTAACTCTGGGACACTGGGAAACCGTCATAAATGTAAGACGGTTGTCAAGCATCCGAATGAAAATCACATGACCATGGGGAATGCTGCAATGGTCATAAGTGTGAAAAATTGTCATTTTTTTAGTTCCATTGTAACTTCAAACAGTCACTAAATGAACTGTTGTAAATCAAGGATTACTTGTAATTTAGATTTATTTATTATATTTTTTTATTCTGCCTTTATTACTTTATAAGTAACACAAGGCAGCAAAACATACCTAATACTTCTTTCCTCAATCTATTTTTTCCCACAACAACAGCCCTGTGAGGTGGGTTGGGCTGAGAGATCGTGACTGGCCCAAAGTCACCCAGCCAGCTTTCATGGCTAAGGCGGGACGTGAACTCATGGTTTCCCGCTTTCTAGCTGGTGCCTTAACTACTACACCAGACCTAGACTTCCTGCTTCACAACCCTGTCTCAGGTAACCCAATTTTACGCAGATTTCTGAGAAATATGTTTCTTTGAATCTTGCTATGAGGCTGAGTACGCAGTGTGCTGTTTTCATGCCTTCACCACAGTGATTTCCTGATCGTAGTTTTAGATTCTGTTTTGCACATAACAGACAGCTTTCTCCAGTCTGAATTATTTTAAGATGTGTACATTTCAATTCCCATAATTCCCCAGCCAACTTTACCATTGCTGAACAAAAGTGCACAAATAAGAGGGTAGTGTACCTACATGATATAAAAAGTGAAAAATGGAAAATGCTTAAGCACATTTAATAGGGGAACAGAAATGTAACCTTCGTTTGAAGCTTTTTGCACTGCAAATGATCAGGAAAACTACTTTCCATAGGGAAGAATTCCCCCCCTCCCCGACACACATAGCTCTTCTGTTTTGTGAAAGATGTACACGTTTGTGTAACTGTGTGATTGAAAGTACTGTATATGTCAAGTGTATATTTGACTCAAATGCTATTTTTTCTCCCCTCTACGAGTTCAAATCAGGTCATTGGTAGAAGAAAAAACCGATAGCCAGAGACCCAAGTTGATGTCCATTCTTATCAAACTATGATACTGTCTCTATTGTGCATACCAGATTCTAACCAGAAGTTCTTCATAAAATGACAGAACAATATAGGAAGTCAAATAGCTAGGCTGCCTGAAGAAATCCTGTGATTCTGGAAGACTTAATGGAACTTCTAAGGGAAAAGCCAGATTCTGATAAAGTCCCAGCTCATTGCTGATTCTGCCAGTTCAGAAGCTGATACAAAGAAAGGAGGAGCAATATCAGAAGATCTTCCAAGTCCAATAAAAGCCTTACTGAAACAGCAGAATGGAATAAGATTGCATAAAATGGCCCACTTCAAACAAAACACGCTGGGCATCTTCAATAATGAAAAATTACTGTGGTTTGAAAATGCCACTGTGTTTTGTTAACTTGGAGCATTGCTTTGAAGCCTCTTGTTTAACTTTGCATCTTATGGTTTAGACCATAACTCAGACAATTTTCAAACCTCAGATACAGCAAAAATAATTGTATCTGTTTTGGGCCTGAAGGTATCAAGGTAGCAGAGTCATACAAGAAGAACCTGGAGAGTGTAAACAATGATTCATCCAGGATCTAGTGTTCCCCTTTTAGAAACACGAACAAAGATGATGCAGAAAGAAGCTGGAGCCTTGTTTGGAAAGTTTATGTTGCATCTGTATTTACAGTGTCCATTCAAGCATGGCTGAAAAAGAGGACATGAATTGCCTGTAGTAGGACCAAGATGCTACATAATTTTGCATAGTATCCACTAACATGTATTGATGCAAATTTAGAAAACTAACTAAAAAGAGAAATTCATTGTCCCTGAGAGAAGGAAACTGACCATTCAATCTGTTGTCCAAGATCTAATAGGGGGGACATTCAACTTTTTTCAACTGACCGTGAACTATCTTTGTATGGGGTAGAGTACAAAGCGAGGACTGTTTTAAAAGAAGCCTGGTGCCATGCCATTATTACCCTATGCTACAACCAGGAGGCAATTAAAAGAAGTAAATTGTACTAAGTTCAGCGGAGTTTATTCTTAGACAAGCGGCCTGGTCTTTGGAACATTTTCCCAGATAAAAAGAGTCTTTGATATAAATTTCATCCAATGCCACCCAGGCTGGGTTAGGGATGTTTAAAAACTTCAAGTCTTAGACTGGTATCGGGAGGCTGTAAGGACTAGAATAAATGTAAACAAGGTCAGATTAAATAACTGCATGATGGAACTTACTGTTTATTGGGGCTTGATCTAGCTTGGTCACAGCTCCATTCTTGCTTTAAGCTAAAATCTTACTCTTCCTAAAGGAAGCTTTTTGATGTGTGGGTTCTCCTTTGCTCCATAATACCTACTAGAGAAGTAGCTGGAGGTTGTGGCTGAGTGGGAGAGGGGCTTTGCCCAACTTTGGCTGGTGTGCCAATTTAGGGATTGGAATACTGGCAATAGTCATTCATGCACTGATCTCCTTGTGCATCGATTGCTGTATTGTGCTCTACATAAAACGGCCTTTGAAAATCACTTGGAATTTTTAACCGGACTAAAAGGTGACTGTTGATCTGCTGTGATGAATAAGGAAGTTAACTTTGATATTGATAGGCCAGATCTGTTACCAAAGTGACAAGAGAAAAAACATGCAATAAATCCCCAAGCAGTTATCCACTAGCAACTTGGCAGACACCTCCCTAAGTCACATGAGTATAAAGGGGGTGGAAAGTAAAGCAATTATACTTGCAGGTTTCTGTTAATGGTAGCCAGTAAAACTACAATAAAAGTAATTTTAGCCTTCTTGTAAAGCTGATTTCCTGGTTTGGTCTGTATAGTGGAGCTGACATCAGCTAATGGGATGTAGCAGATTTAGCAGTGACAAAGCTATGCTGTGTTGTGGTCATTGGTTACCAGTGTGCTTCTAAGTCCAGTTTAAGGTTTTGGTTTGTTACCTTGAAACCCTTTGATGGCTTGGCAGTTGGGTGCTTACAGGACCACCTTTTCCAACTTAGATTTGGCTCTTCCTGTGCAAACTTTTAGGGAAGGACTTATGGAAGATTCCAGCCAGAAAACATGGCGTTCTGAAGATGACTTTGCTAGAAATATACAGGAACCATATCTTAGGGGCTGAAGCATCTTTAAGTCCAGAGCAATGAGGTAATATTTGAAAGTGGTTCGTGCAGATGCCTCTCTGTTTCACTAGATATAAGAAGAAGGAGAAGGTACTGCATAATTGACTACACAGTTATTGTAGTCAATCTCAATAAAAGTAGTTTGAGCCTTCCTATGGAGTGGATTTCCTGGTCTGGTCAACCTAATGAGGCTGAAATCAATTTAGCAAGTCTGGTTTTGCCTCTAGACACACATCCTGTACTTACCAATGTAGTTAAAAAAATGCAGTTTACAATTCAGGTGATCCTTGACTTATGACCACAAATTGGATCCATTGCTAAGTGAAGCAGTCATAAAATGAGATGTCATGTGACCATGCCAACTTACAGTAGAAATCTTGGCATTCCCTATGGCATTGGTTGACCGAGAATCATGAGTTGTTAAGTGAGTACCTATCCCAAGCCATTCTACACTTAGTTCCTCCCAGCCCCAAGCCTCAATAAGGTAAGAGACTTCCAACTTCTCCCACTTGCCTGCCTCCCACCCATCTCTGCCCTTTGGACATCTGCACTTTGTCTTGTAAACCATGTGGCCCTCGGACCAGGGGTGAAATGCTACTGGTTTATATGGTTCTAGTGAACCGGTAGTAAAAAAAAGCTACCAGTTAGTCCAAACCGGTATTTCCAACGATCAGCTATGCCACGCAATTTATATTCGCTAGAAAGCAGGAAGCACAGCTGTTCCCCCATTGCTGTTTTACTTACCTTCAAACGGCTCCTTTTTCCACGCAAAGTGCGCGTTTGGTGCAGACTGCACATGTGCGTGCAGTGTGCGTCAGGCATGCACTGTGCGTATGTGTGCGCAGCATGAGTCTGGCGCGCACTGTGCATGCGTGGGCAGTGAACCGGTGGCAACCCGTGGAGGATTTCACCACTGCCTGGGACTGCTTGCCAAGCTCCGGGAAGCCTCAGTCTCAGCTCAACGCTGCCTACCCCAGCAAGTGCCAGCTAGCATTCATTTGCCCAGCTACTTTCTCTCCCACTTCTTCACACTGACCTTTTTCATTTTGTGCCCAGCTGAAGCAGAAGCACCTTGCTGCCCATACTATCTCCTTTTTAGACCTGGTTTCTGTGGGGAAAATTTCTTACATGGGACTTCCTGAACCTTTGGAAAATTGTGCTGCCTTCAGAAAAGCTGTGCTGTCTTTGGAAAGCTGCACTGTCTTTCCAAAGGCTTTCCGAAGACACGGTACCTTGGTTCAAACATTGCTGTCCCTTGCGGTACACTTTTGCCCAGTTGAAGGTTGCAAGCAGACTTTTAATGCTACATAGATGAAGACTTGCTAGAGGAATCCTTCTCAAGACAGTGTGATTAAGATGGGTGTGTTAATTCTGTAGCAGTTTTAGTGAAAAGCAATAAACTGCAAGAAAAAAGAAAAAGAAAAAAAAAGAGGTGTTGCATGCTGCTGAAAATAAACCTTCAAAATATTCTCTTTCTCTCTTAGATACTTTTAAAAGCTGGTATATGTATTTTTGAAAATCCTATTTCTGTTGCTTTGATATGGGGGATTGCTAGTGGGAGGTGTCATGGTGAAATGAACATGTTTTCATTCTATTTCTGTTTGCAGGGAGAAACATTTGTTTGGGTTAATGGTGCATCAGCTCACTCCCAGACTGTTGCCAAGGCCAAATATGACTTTTTATTTGGCGGATCAGAAAATGAAACTACTTCAGAATCTGGTAAGCACCAATGTTTCTACTCTGAGGCCACTTTCATCTCCTCACTCATTATACATATAATATTATTTTAACTTAGAGCTCATGCTGATTCTGAATTTATGAGGCAAGGGTGCAGCTTTCCCAACCTGGATACCTTCCAGATGTGTAGATTTCAGTTTCCAGAATTCCAGGCATTGACCATACAGTAGGATACTCTGGTTGCTGAAGTCCGTGCATTTGGACAGCAGCCAGGTGGATTAAGAATGCTGGATAAATAGAGAATAACAATATCAATGTATTTCTTTAGGAACAAGTAAGGATTTATGAAAGAAGCTTCCACTCTTTCAACTATGGATATAACTGCCACTTTTCATCTGTACTACAGATGGTCCTCAATTTACGACTACAATGGAGCCCAGAATTTTGGCTACGAATTGTCGCAGTCGTAAATTGAGTCACCATGTGACCTGACTTGATTTTATGACTCTCTTTTGTTTACAATGGTAGTTAAGTACGCTTCTGTGGTCATTAAGCGAGTTGTATAGTTTTTAAACAAATCGCATGGTCTGAAGTCCAAATCCAGTTTATCCAATGCGTATTTTGTGCTGGAAAGTAGAAAAAAACATTGCAAAACATGATCGTGTGGCTTCGTTATGCTTCAACCAATTGTAAATGTGAACCGGTTGCCAAGCGCCCAAAATGTGATTATGTGACTCTAACTATTGTAATGTTGAGGATGAGTTGTAATTAACTTTTTTTGAGTGTGTCATAACTTTAAGCGGTTGTTAAGTAATTGGCCATAAATTGAGGATTTCCTATAATGATGTAGATTTTGATTCAACAGGAGCCCTTGTTAGAGGTGTACTCCTTAGCTAGCATAAGCAAAGCACTGAAAGAGTTCTAACTTGTTAGGTTACAGAATTTCTTATTAAAACATCATGTTCATTTTATTCTCTAAAATACATGACTCTTGCCTGGCTAGCAACAGTTAAAAACTACATCACTTCATCATATGCACACATACACACAAACAAATATGGATGGAGTCAGCAATTCATAGTACAAAAACTAGTTAATGTAACCACTGTGCTATCAATGAATATTAACAGACATTCAATCAATCTATCTATTTGGGGGACTGAACTGGGCTCGCTCACCTAAGGCATGTAGAAATTGTCGATAACAATGTTCCACCTTAATAACTTTAATAAAAGGTCCATTTGTTAAATAAACAGAAATAAAGCACTGTGAATAAAATACACAAGCTGCAGTAGATCTGGAAAGAAATATAGGAGGTAAGTCCACTTACCTGAAGTAGTTTTTATTTAGTTTAAAACATGAAATTGGACCCTTTGAAATCTTGGAATTAACTGAGCTGTTAATTTCCTACTGTAGTAATAGCAGTAGTCTACTCTAGTGTTTCTCAACCTTGGGAATTTTAAGAATTCCTACAATTCCCTAGTCAGCATAGATGGGAGTTGGTCCATACATCTTAAAGTTCCCAAGTTTGAGGAACATAGGTCTACTGTATCAATATTTATTCGGAAACTGAACTTTACAGTGGATTTTCAGGAATTCTGGATTGCAAGGCGTAGGGTTTTTTTAAATTTATTTATCTCATAATACTGATCTTAAAAGAGAATTGGGAAAAGCTGGAATGAGCAGTCGTTATTTTACCATTCTTTTTCAATTAGCTAAAGAACTTCTGCTTTGCTTCTAGCCTTAAAACTAGGTACAGTAATCCTCAATTTGCAACAGTAATTGAGCCTAGAATTATGATCATAACTTGTTATTGTTAAGTGAGTCACCACATGACTGGACCTGACTTTATAACACTTGGCAGTAATTATTAAGTACACGAAGCAGTCATTAAGCAAACAATGTAGTCATTAAGCGAATTCAATAAATCCAATAGCGCTCTTTTTGCTGGTGACTGGAAATAAACACCAGAAAACATGGAAAATCATGGTCATAGGACACTGCAAACAGCTCTAAAAATGAGCTGGTTACCAAGGGCCCAAAATACGGCATGACCGTGGGAAGGAGGTGCGGCCATTGTAACTTTGAAATCAGGTAATCAGCCCCCTTTTGGGGAATGTCTATCATTACAGTTGTTAAGTGACTGGCCGTAAATCAAGGATCAATTGTAGATGGTTGAGAGATGGTTGATGCTGGATGAAAAGTTCTTGGAACTTATATCTAGAGGATCACTGCAGTAACAACTGTTGTGGCCTTTTGTTCTGTCTATAGCTGCCTTCTGCAACCTATGGAGTGATTCTTAAAATAATTGCAACTGTTAGTTAGGTTCTGTGTTTGAGCATTGGCAAAGTTTGTCAGTTTGTGGAATAAACTTCCTAATACCACCTCCCACAGGCACACAGAGCCACTCATTCTTTACAAAAAAAAAACCTAAAGAAAGAAGTTTAGCTCATGAAAACTAAAAGAGCATTTATTCTAAACGAATGGAGAAGAAAGACGCCATTGATTCTTTGGGGAGATTGTAAAAACATTGATTTTTCAAGTGAAAAAAAAAACTCCGAAGTGCCTCATAAGAAATATTTGCCTACTTTCAGAGCTTGGCTGGTGCCAGGCAGAGTTTTTAATGTGATATTTGTTTATGGAACACTTTTGGCTGAAATGATTCTACTAAGTCAACCTCTTCTTCGGAAATCATAGCACTCTAAATGTGGTGATTGGATACAAATCAGTGTAGATGGGAAGGTAAGACAGCTGTGATTAGATAACTTAATAGTAAGGATTTTAAAGTAACTAAGTAAAGTAGTTGGTCAGTCATTTGTCTTTTAACTGATTGCTTAAGCAAATATGCATAGTCCCAACAATGTGGACATTTCTTGGAGACATAGAAGGAAATGCAAGAAAACGTAAATGTAATAAACCAACTTTGTCTCAGTGAAGAAAATCTTACGGATTGGTCTACTTAAAGTTTTTTTAGCAGCAGCAAGCTATCACTACCCAAAATAGCACTAGTGATAAAAAATAGCTCTTGTTGATCACCTTGGATCAGTAATTTTTCTTCAAGGATTTTTCTTCCGTCAAAATGTCATTACCATACCTAAAAGGGGGTGAAAATTTAGGTGTGTCTTATACACCGAATGTAGCCCCACCCACCCACTGGCCCCCACCCTTTGGCCTCTGCCTCCCAGCAGTTATCTCCTTGCAGCAAACAGCAAGAAGAAACAGCTCCTTTCAGCTTCAGCACAGCCTAATTAGCACGAGTTGATTGGATCGGCCTCCGGATTCTCAACTGTTTTGCTCTCAGCTGTTTTGCGTGGGCCTCTGCTGCTTGCTGCAAGGAGGTATATTGTTGGAGCAGATTTTTTTTTCCTTGTGCTAATCAGGCTATGCTGAAAACAAAAATGAAAGTAAAGCTTGCTGTTTGCTGCTTGCTGCAATGAGGCAAAAGTGCTGGGAGGCAGAGGCAGATTTCTTTTTCTTGTTTTCCTCACCAAAAAAGGTAGGTGCGTCTTATAGTCCGGTGTGTCTTATAGTCCGGTGCATCTTATACTCCGAAAAATATGGTAACTTATCAGAGATAGTTTCATGTATCCAAACTACCGTTTTGATTTTTGTTCACTTTTTTTCATTAGGGAATTGCACAAATGAAGAAATTAATTTCATTTCTTCTCTTGAAATTTCTCTTTTCTAAATATAATTTCTTTTGAATTAGGTCTGATTTCCTCATTTTGCGAACATACTTTCTTGACATACATTTAAATGTAGAGAGTATTGCTTGGCTATGATACCTAAGCAGATTATTCACAGGTCCTCAGCATAGCATGAAACAATCAAGCAAGCCATTTACTACGGGAAAATATATGGTGACATCACATTATGGTTGTTTGACAGGAGATTGGATTAGAAGAAAGATGGACTAAATTTTTTTAGAAATGCAAGTCTAAATTGCATCTAGCATTCTAAGGATCTCATATTACTAAAGACAGTGAATTACTTCATGTATAATAATAATATACAGATATAATTGATTTTTTAAAAACAAGATAAAAATTCAAACTAGACAGTGAATTAGTTCTCAGACTTGTAGAGGTACCCCTTTAGTGTGGCAGGGTTAAATATGGATGCCTTAGCCACCTAGTTTCCAATCCTTTATTCAGACAATTACATCATCAAGAAAAACTGTTGAAAAGTAAATATGTATTTATTAACTTTAAACGTCTGTGCAACTCCCAAGTGATGCTGGGTTTTAAATTAAAAGTAACAAAACAAATACAGTAAAAAAGAAAATTTACACATGTGACTGGAGCAAATGTGTATTTGCCAAAGGTTCAACAACTGAATTTGGAGCACAACCATGGTTTAAATATTTTTATATGAACTCTTCTAAGATGGGAGCCATAAGTATTTCAGGGGGGTGGGGGACTATTCAAGAGACCAAGCACTGCAAGAGAGAAGGTGCATTTCCAGGGCCCTTGACAGGTGACAGTGTTTAATAGAAGGGACCTGGAGTGTCTGCCTACTACCTGATCTCATTGTATGTGCAGTAACCACTGGTCTCTCAGATAATCAAGTCCTATATCATGAAGGATGTTATAGGTGAGCTCAGCCCCTTGAATTGCACACGGAAGCAAACTGGCAACCAGTTCAACTGTCTGCATTTCCATTATCATGGGAACCAGCAGTCAGCAGCTACAGTGATACCAGTTGAAATACTGTAAAGACAATCTCAAGGTTAAATGAATTAAAACAACTAATTACATTATAATTCAATTAATTATTTTAATGGACCAGCTCTTATTATGAAAGAGTCCCATGAATGATGTGTTTGTGTATGTGTGTATATACCCGGCACAATTCATTACATAAAGACAGATACTGGAGCCTAAAACAGGGTTTCTCAGTCGTGGCAACTTTAAAATGTGTGAACTTCAACTCCCAGAATGCTGGCTGGGGAATTCTAGGAGTTGAAGTCCACACATCTTAACGTTGCTGAGAAACACTGGTCTAAAGTATACAACAAAACTTTTCAATGTGTTGGTCCTTTC